GTGGGAACTTCCAGAGCAAGACCAGAACAGACAAAAAACAGGGAGAGGATTGAGAGCTGCCTTTTTGCTCACAGCCTAAAATAGATGCATGAGAGCTGGCAAAAGCTTAAAACATGCTGAGACCGCAAACATCACTGGCTGCAACAGGCAGGATTATGCCCAACTTTATAAGGATGTAAAAGTCTTGCAAGTCACAAGCAAGAGGTTAGGACCTCAGTGCATCTTTATTTGCATGGAGACATATGAGAGACCTGCACCGGCATGTGCAGGGAGAAGTTCCTGGGAGGCAGCACTCTGATGGCATACCAAGATCAGGGAGGCTGGAGGTGACCAGCAAAGCTTTAATGTCAGGACTTCATCAGCTGTGATGCTACATCTCTGGGCCAATCTCTGCATCGCCTTTACAGGTACTTCCTCAAAAATATGTAACATTTTGTTTCTGGTGCATAAGCCCAGCTTATGTTTTGTCTCCCCTAAAAGTCTCCTTCTAAACCATCTTACTGCAGTTCTGTCTCCTAAAGCCTTATTAAACAAACCTTTGCTCTGTCAGGCTGGGAGACACAGGGAGCTCAGGGACGCTCAGGGACGCAGCCCTGCTCAGCTCTGCAGAGCTCTGTTGTGGGCTCCCAAAAGAAGCCACCCTCTTCCATCTCCTCCCTTCCCATCCAGAGGGAAACCACTTTAACTGTGTGAAGCAATAAAATGCTTTGAATACAGTCCTGATGTGACTTTGGGTAGGCTGGTATATCTCTGCAAGAGCTAAAGGAAGTGTTTGATGATGACCACGCTCAGTGGTGTGCTGCTCCCATGAGACAGCTGCCTGTCTGCAAGGAGTACACAGGCAGGGAAGGGACTGGGTGTGCAGGACCACGAGGTCCTGCTGGAAGTCCCTGACACCTTGGGATGAGGAGGGTCCCAGAACTCTTCCCTCTGGCAGGGACAGGAAAGAAAGCCAGTGTTCCCCTGGGCGTGAGATGCCTGCAGCAGCCACAGAAACTCCAGAGAGCCATTAGGGCTCATCTGGTTCTCATTACCACATTACTTCCCTGGAGCTGAAGGGAGACCTGACAGCTGGAGATGCAGCTCTCAAACCTCCTGTGTAAGTGATGTTCCTGCCCTGCCCCCACCGATCCTCTTGTCACTGCTACAGTGGGACAGCCACATCCCTCCCAGGCACCCATGTCCTTGCCATCCAACACCCCATACCATAGGAGGAGCAGGGGACAAGACCACACACAGCACGCAGGAGGCTCAGGTGATGGAGGGGGAGAAGCAACACAAAGCGGCCGTGTGAGGCAGGCGCCTGGCCCTCCCACTCTGGTGAGCAGAGCTGCCTGTAATCTCTCAGTGCCAGGCAGCAGCCCAAAAGGTGACACCAGACACCAGGAACTTTTTGGAAAAGCCACTGAGTGTTAGCATGTTTAATTTTGTTTTAAGCCTAATTGTCACTCTCGATAAACTTACTTTATTAACGAACATACTTGGATTTATATAACTTCCTTTTTAAAGACTGAATACTATTGCAGTGAAACTTTAGTGTTAAAAACAATACAGAAACCATCACACACATCCTCGAGTGCTGCACATAGTTCTCCTTGGCCTCAGTGCACAACCAGCCAGGCTGAAATGGCACACAGGGATGAGGACAGCTTGCATGGATGTGCTGGTTTGAGCTGAAGTAGAGTTAACTTTCTTCATAGAGGCTAG